AAATATTCAAAAGGTTCAACACAGAGTCTGGAAGTACTTCATCAAAGGGGATACCGGATTCGGATTCAGCCACCCCAAAATCTTTTGGGAGTGCTGGTGTAGTCCACCACACACTGATTTTCATTTTCCCATGGGTCTCTGTTATTATGTAGTCGTATATCAATGCGAGGTATACCTGGTTAAAAATAAAGGTAATTGAAAACGGCACGACAAAACAATTAGATACAATAACGCCACCCGTATTTCATTCCCGGCGTAGTAATACCGGAAAAATCACGTGACTCGAAACAGTTCCATAAAACCGATATTGGAAGCTCTTCCCGCGCACGTTTTCGACATATCTCCCGCGGAACGATATTGGCTGGCTGTCGACGAGACCCCACCGCACACAAAAGGAGAACTCTTTCCGTGACGATCCCAGGGCGTCTGTACCTAATTCTGGTACGTAAGCGCTTTACTGTTCCTCTGTATCATGCAGTATTAATGTTGATGGCGGATGCCTCAAAGTTCGACAATAAAATATCCCCGGTAATAAACGAACGCCGTACCCATCAATCGGGATTTAGGAAGGTTAGCTCGGGCGTAACAATACAATATGCACTATAAATCATTAAGTTTCAACGCTGGGAAACGCCGCAGACTACTGGCCCGAGCCTTCTTGGTTCTCCCAACTTTTACCTCGTAAATAGCACCAACAGGAAAAATTTAAGTCAGTAGTTAATTTATAGGGGAATATATCGTCCGCGAGCATTGTAACATACAGGGCGCCACTGAATGTGAAATTTTATTTTGGCGCGGAAAAAAATTAGAAAAACCTTTCCATTTTCGTAATCACATCAGAAGAGGAAAAATCGTATTGACTTTGCCATCTCAAACAACCGTTTGTATCTCCCAGAGGCCTAATTACGGTCTCGGGGTGGTACACTCCCCCCTGTTATTTGTCTCAAATACACCTGGAAACGCGTCCCCGTACGGGCTGAAGGGCAATTAGGAAATCATCAATATTATTTGCAACTTAAGGTGTCCCTAAGGTTAAATAAAGCCATTAAGGTGCCGTGAATTCGAATTGTCCCGATTCCTTAAAGTCACGGAGGCAACGGAACTGAGTGAAAAATAAATTAAGCTGAAGTAACAGCGAGTAAATATTTAAAAGCTTAATTTTTCTCAAATTACAATTTATGTCTATGTAGAATTGTATTCTTTTGTCGTTTTCGGAAAATGAATACTGCGAAGTAACAGAAAAATGGACATTTAACATAAGTTAAAGGAAATATATTTTTACCGATGTTTTGAAAATAAATTCTCAGAATTACCACACATTTTCAACATTTCTCTTTACGGATCTCTATATTAGTGTGCGTATCTGTTGTCACAAATTAAAACATTTTTTAATGAATCGGCTCGTAGCCATATGTAATTTAATGGGAATAATTTTTTACCCAGTTTCCATTTATAAGTTATACAGGGTGATTCACAAATGGTGACAAAAATGAACCCTCGTATTCTTTGGTGAATTTTAAGGGGAATCCTTCCTATAAAGTTTTTATCCAAGACGCTTCGTTAAAAAGATACAGGGTGTTGAACTTTAAAAAATATTTTTAATTTTTTTAAATAATTTAAAAACTAGTGAGTGAAATAATTTGAAATTGGGAACATGTATTTATGTAAACATTGTCCACATTTTCCTAAAATTTACATGCTCCAATAGTTTTGTAGGTCTTTTGAAGACGAACAAAAAAGTACTTACTGTTTTTTCGTGGAAATGAACGGAAAAAACTTATAAGCGAAAAGCGTGAATTTACGTAAAAATTATACAATTAACCACCCTGTAAACAATCTTCCCCCCATTTTTATGACTGTGGAAACTAATATGTAGCATCTATAGTGATAAATTCAGCTTGCCGAAACAAAAATTCGCGAAATGGTCATTTCCCAGCTGTTTTTCCTGGCTTAGTAAATTTTGTCCAAATACTGCGAAAATGGTATATTTGGACAAAATTTAGGAAAAAATCAGTTCTGACCCATATTTGGGCCAGTTTTCACCCAAATAGTGAGTTTTCTGAGAAATATCCAAGTCATGCGTAAATTTTACTAATGGCATCGTATTCAGCGCCTCAAAATACTTCAATAATATATATTTGGACAAAAAGGAAAAAATTAGTTTTGAGGCCAGTTTTCACCCAACTAGTTTATTTTTTGAGAAATGTTGAGGTCATAGGTAAATTTTACCAATGGCAATCTGTTTAGCGCCTCAAAATACTACGAAAATAATACATTTGGACAAAATTTAGGAAAAAAATCGTTTGACCCAAATTTGGGCCAGTTTTCACCCAAATAGTGAATATTCTGAGAAATATCGAGGTCATGGGTAAATTTTACTAATAACAGCGTGTTCAGAGCCTCAAAATACTAAGAATATGATAAATTTGGACAAAATTTAGGAAAGAATCTGGTTTGACCCATATTTGGACCAGTTTTCACCCAAAATTTCACTTTTAAAGGAAATTTGTCGTGAAGTCAAGAATTTTTACTACAGTATTCCCTTCGGAAATTATGTGTGGCTCTCCTGGACTTGGACTTTTTTTTGTGAATGGTTTTTTGCGCGAAACAGTGCAGCGACTGCGAAAGATTTGATTTGTGTTTCTTTATAACTAATTTTTAATTAAAAAAAATTGCCGCGACGCGATATAGTTCCTGCGGACCTCGCAGTGAGTCAAATTTAGATGGAAATTGAAGTATTTTAAGAAACTAGTTTCTTGCGAGAGCGTAACGTAGTATTGTTTTAATTAAATCTTAAACGAAACAGATACAGCAATATGGATTTCATAAAATCCCGAACGGCTTCGGTGGAAATCACCTTAACCAAGTTTGCTGCACAACTCGTGCCTGCAGCACTGCTTTTATTTCTTATTATTTTGTAATTATTCAAGTTTCCATTGTCAAAAGGAAAACAATAAATCCAGCAGATTTATTAAAAGCAAAATTCCCCATCTTGGAAATTAATTATATAGGCAGGCATGCCACTTCATTCTGGTTATCTCGCTGTGAGATTTTTAATCATTCTGTGCTGAAAGAGCTGAAAAATGGGCCGCCGCTTCAAGCACACCGAAACGAATAATGCACGGGTTCTTAAATTTCCCGATTTTTAATCATTCGGGAACGCATCACGGAAACGCAATATACACGGAAACGCAATATATACAGAACGTTTAGGAAATAAAACTGAAACCGTAATTAAATATACTTTACAGACTATACCAGTACCGGTTTGTGTATAGTAGCAGTTAACACCTTTGAAATCCCGAAATAACTTAAAATATGTTCAAGTAAAAAAAGTAGTCCATACTGAAGATAATGACTAATAAGAACATGGCGGGATTATCTATATTTTTTTTTCAAAGGGGCCGTGAAAACGCTTTTAAGGAAAGTAAAATATACTTACTGCTTTCTTTTATCTTTCATAAAAAATGTATCGGTCGAGACAGAACCAATTTACAAAAACCTTATAAAGGGAAACCCCCTAAAAAATACAGTAATAATGTAATAGACATATAAGCGCCGCTGTCCTATCTCCTTTGTGCGCTATGCTTCCTCGTACAGGGCTGGTGTTTCCTTAATATCCCTTCGACTAAGTGGGCGTCAAACGAAATAGTTTCTGGCCCGTTCGAGCGTGCAGTTAATTTTTTGCGCCATTTGTGTATGTTTGTATAGCGTTAAATACAACCGACTTCCGTTTTCCTTTTTAATTAAACTCGATGCTTTACGCCCGATGTTCAAAATTAAGGACGATAATCCCCTTAATACGTTTTCACCACTTTTACCGTTTACGAAAAATTTTTATTAGATTCATCTAAAATACACGTGGACCATAACGAACACTTGCAAGGCTGATGTAACAAATAAATAATAAACCGCAGTAATAAGATAGGCCAGTCAAATTGTCGAAAATACCTCGTTTTTTGTCAAAATGTAGTTCAGTACACAAACACACATCGAAATTATGAAAAATTCAAAATGGCGTCCAAAATTCGCAAAAAAAAACAGATTTTTTTTATTTGACGTTAATTTCTATACAGGGCTATCCAAAAGTCCCGGAACGGCAGAAAAACTTTCGAAGGATGCATTTTTGGAAAAAATGTTTCAGACAAAGGTGTAAGGATTTTTTCCTGGCTATCTGAAGGCGACCTTGGATTTGACCTTGACTTTGACCTTCAAGGTCATTTGAAGGTCTAGTTAAGTTTTTTTAAATGGGAACCCCTATTTTTTATTGCGGATTTGGAAAGAGCAGGAAATTTCACGTCCAAAATTGGTCTTGACCATGACAATGCTCTTCAACGTCAAATATGGGTCGAGTTCCAAAAGTCCCGGTACAGCAGAAAAATTTTCGAAGAATGCATTTTGGGAAAAAATGTTTGAGACAAAGGTGTAAGGATTTTTTCCTGGCCATCTGACGGTGACCTTGCATTTGACCTTGACTTTGACCTTCAAGGTCATTTGAAGGTCAAGTTAAGTTTTTTAAATGGGAACCCCTATTTTTTATAGCGGATTTGGAAAGAGCTGGAAATTTTACGTTTAACTATGACCTTGACCAATTCGTTGACCTTGACCTTACGGTCAAATGTAGGTCGAGTTTCAAAAGTCCCGGTACGGCAATACTCCCGACCAATTAAAATGCATTCTTCGAAAGTTGTTCTGCCTTACCGGGACTTTTGGATAGCCCTGTATATTGTTTTAACAATACAGGGTGTTAGAAGTTTGACGCTCCTGTATTATACAACTTCTTTGTTTATTTATGATGCTGAACTAATGGCAGTCAAATTTCTTACACCCTGTATAATACAAAAATAAGAAAATGTATTATTATTATTATTATNGGATTTTTTCGAAAACTTCTCAATTTAAAAAATAATGAATTTATTCGTTACTTTTCGAAAGCACTGTATTATGGAAGACTTGGGAAATCAAAACTTGAAAAATGTATTCTAGAAAATAATACTTACTTATTCTTCCTAATGCCATGCTCATTACACCTAATAAGAAAAATGTTCTATTACTCCAACCAATTTTATCCGCAATGAATGGAATGAAAAATCTAATTACTATATCAGTTATTCCAAGTAAAGACATAAATGTAGCTGTTTCGTATTTTTCAAACCCAAATTCCTCGAGTATGATTGGGGTGAGAATAGAAAAATTTAGTTCTGCAAAATTAGCAACTGTGATTCCTAACATAAGATTCACGTAAGTGAAATCTTTGAATAACTCAAAATCAAAAAATATGGATATCTTTTTGAGCAAACTTAGATTTTCAAGTTGTTGTGCTTCTTCATCTTGAGGTGGTTCGTTATCTTTCTCTTTGTATGCTTCTAATTTTTTTGCTGCACTCTTTAATACTTCCTTTTCATTAGGATAATTTTTAGATATCTGTGATTGAACTGCTTTTTTATCGTCTTTTGATGCGTCATTTCCTAAATCTTCGACTTCCTCTCTAATAACTGGTTTACTTTGAGACATTTTTCTTTCTCTTTTTCTATATTCTCTGCCGTGATCAGCTAAATTATTGTAAGAAGGTCTTTTAGAGACACCTATCGAATTTTGTCCTGAAGTTTGTTTTATACCCTTATTCGAATGTAAAGAAAGCCTCGAACCAATTTGAGATCTGCTTTGCGAATACCAACCATCATTTGCTTTTATCATCATAGGAGTTCCGGGATCTGTTATTTCATAACCCGCTTGAAATGGATCATCTTCATTTCTAAGATATTGACTTGAAAAAATACTATGACTGCTTTTTCTTGACAGTTTTCCAGATTCCAATGTTTTGTTCTGATGGGGTTGTGGAAATTTTTCTAATAAATGAGATGCTTCTGGTCCGTCAGTCTGAAATTGTAATTATATTATCAAATATCTGCTTATTCAGTTTATTTATATAACTTCCTAATTTTAATCGTGGTATTTTTACATGAGCAAACAGTTGCGATAAAAAAATTATTAGGTTAGGTTAGGTTCAGTAGCTTTTATCGTTTATTTATACTTTAATCAAATTTATTATTTCAAACTATCAGCCCACGAGAAAATATATTAACTGCACTTAATGGGAGAAGTTTAATTCTCTTCTATTTGGGAAAAGCTTGCAACGCGTTGACTGTCACAAAACATAGTGAATGAACAATTTCTGCCTAACGGTAACGAGACCATACGAAATAAAAACTGCTAAATGGGAGAAAAAGTGTAAAACTATTTACTGTTGTAGAGACGCAACTTTAAATAGAATTAAGATTTAAAGATGCGTTAGAGCAGTAGTCTTGCTTACACACTAGTTGCACATACATTATCGTCGGCTTGCCGATGATCAGGACGTTGACCATCAGCGCCTTTATGAAAAATGAATTCACATTTTGACGTTTTAATAATACAATAGAAAAATAAGAAAATGTATTATTATCTCTAATATAATATGTTTAAAGACAAAGATTTTAAACAATATTGATGATCAATTATTTTAATTATTATGTCAAAATATGTTTAAAGACAAAGATTTTAAACCAATTGTAAGTTTTTAAAGTGTTTTTAAATGTGTATTGTTTTAATTACTTATAAAATTTTTTTATTGTTACATAAAACCCGAAACGATCTGTCTGTCCCTTATTCCAATCGTAATAAAAATTGTAAAAAGGAAAAAAATTGTTTTTATTTTACTTGTGACCAGTTTCCCAGAAGATTAATTCAAGAAATAAAAAAAACTAAACATTTTAGAAAAAAAATGTTTTAGACAAAAGTTGTAGAATTTTTATAACAAAAGCCCAGCCCGACGTCAATTGATAAACAAATGTATTAGTTATTGCAAAAAACTGCTGAAAATCGCATTTTCTTTAATCTTCTATATCTTTAAAACGAAAAAAGATTTTTTTACGAAACTTTCAAAATATGTAGTCCTTGGCAAGTAGAATAAGTGCATTTTTGTAAAATTGAAAAATATTTGATAGTTTTTGCAAAAATTGTGTTTTTCGAAAAAAATACATTTTTTTCAAGTTTCAATAAGTCAAACAGTAATACACTTACGTGGACTTAAAAAACATCTGTTTTAGCCATTTTTTTAATTGCAAACGTTGTAGTTGTAGAAAATTTCATTTAGAACAAAAATCATCTCTTGTAGTTTCTTCGAAAAATGCGAACCAACTGAGATTTCGAGGAAAAACAAATAAAAACGCACTTTTTGGCGATCCACAACGTATTTGTTCGTGAAAAAATTTTGCCGCAAATAAAGCAGTACTATTGTTTCTTAAATTTACCTGTATTTAACAAAAAAAATTATTTCCAAATAAAAAAAAATAATTTGTTTAAATAAAAATTATTTAAATAATTGTAATAATTATAACTAAATACTCATATTCAGTGTTGAAATATATACGTAAACAAATTTTCCATTGAAAAATGCAATAGCATAGGGTAAAATATATAGTATTATTTAATGCATAAATAATAAACTTTGTTTATAACAAAATATGTTCAAAATTAGACAGTTGGCATTATGATATTCGAATTCTTGAAAACAGTCTTGCATTGTCGAAACCAAGAGTTTCATGAACAAAATTTGGAAAGGACCTGGCTAATACAATGCGAAACATCGCCTTAATTTTAAAAATGCTGTCACCGCCGTTCTTGGTGGTGAAAATGCGAAATATTTGGAATTATTCAATTTTCGTGGTTAAAAAGTGTCGAAACCAAGAGAGTTGCATGAACAAAATTTGGAGAGGTCATAGCTAATACAATGCGAAACATCTCTTTAATGTTAAAACCGCCCTGGTCTATAATGAATTTATGATTATTACATGAATCTTTTATGTTATATTTGATGAAAAAATTGTACATTCCTTCATTGCGTCAAAAACATTGGCGCATTCGCCATTTTATAGGAAACCGGTCAATGTTTTTTAGATATGTTTTTTAAATATTTTAATTGCTCCGAGGGCATTCGAATTTTGTTAAAAAAAAACTTTAGGGTATAATAAAACAACACACCAAATTTCATTAAAATCGGTCAGATAGTTTTCGCAAAATAATTTTTTGAAAAAAATTTAGAAAAAAATTTTCGAATTTTCAAAATGTTGCAGTCTCAAATAAAGCACCTAGATACTTAAAAATTTTTTCACATAGAAAAGACCGCTGAACCTTTCAAACGGTTTTTGAAAAATTGAAATCGGTTGATTAGGACGGCCACAGTAAATTTTTGAAATTAACACTCTTTTTTTTATTTTCAAACAATTAGATTACATTTATCAATTAGCAATTGATTTTTTTTTCAAAAATTATAATCTTAAAGTACTATTTTTTCTTAATATTTTACCTGTACTTAACAAAAAAAATAATTTCCAAATAAAAAAAAATTAATTTGTTTAAATAAAAATTATTTAAATAATTGTAATAATTATATTCATATTCAGTGTTGAAATATATACGTAAACAAATTTTTTCATTGAAAGAATGCAATAGCATAGGGTAAAATACACAGTATATTTAATGCATAATTTGTTTATAACAAAATATGTGCAAATTAGACAGTTGATTACGATATTCGTAATCTTGAAAACAGTATTGCATTGTCGAAACCAAGAGTGTTGCATGAATAAAATTTGGACAGGTCATAGCTAATACAATGCGAAACATCGCCTTAACGTTAAAACCGCCCTGGTCTATAATGAATTTATGATTATTACATGAATCTTTTATGTATATTTAATGAAAAAATTGTATATTCCTTTTTTGCGTCAAAAACATTGGCGCATTCGCCATTTTATACAAAACAAGCCAATGTTTTTGGGATATGTTTTTTAAATATTTTAATTGCTCCGAGGGCATTTTAATTTTGACAAAAAAAACTTTAGAGTATAATAAAACAACACATCAAATTTCATTAAAATCGGTCGGATAGTTTTCGCAAAATAATTTTTTTAAAATAATTTTGAAAAAAAATTTTCGAATTTTCAAAATGTTGCATAGCCTCAAATAAAGCATCTAGATACTTGAAAATATTTTCACATAGAAAAGACCGTTCAACCTCTCAAATGGTTTTTGAAAAATTGAAATCGGTTGATTAGGACGGCCGCAGTAAATTTTTACTCTTTAAACTTTAAAAAATTTACTGTAGCCGCCCTAATGAACCGATTTCAATTTTTCAAAAACCATTTGAAAGGTTGAGCGGTCTTTTCTAGGCGAAAACATTTTCAAGTATCTAGATGTTTTATTTGAGGCTGTGCAACATTTTGAAAATTCGAAAATTTTTTTTAAAAATTTTTTTCAAAAAATTATTTTGCAAAAACTATCCAACCGATTTTAATGAAATTTGGTGTGTTGTATTATTATACTCGAAAGTTTTTTTTACCAAAATTAGAATGCCCTAGGAGCAAATAAAGTACTTTTAAAAATTATTCAAAAAACGTGATTATTTTGCCTTTTTTTTCCATCAATTATTGCTATTTTGCAACATCGGTAATAAATTTAAACATTTTCAACTTACAGTATATTGTGCAAAATTCAATTCTAAAGCTTTTTCCTCTTCAATATTCTTCCAAAATGCATAGGTTCCAGGATATATACAAAAAACTCAGATAAAATAGGTATTTTTAAAAAAATTTCAAACATATTTGCAATTTTGGAAATGTTCCGGACCTCGCCCAAATCTAGGGATCTACACTTTTATTATGTGAGTTGTTCTGAAGGTATTTCAGCAAAAATTAGCTGGCCCCCTCTTACATATCAGAAGTGGGATATTTCGACAGATCCGCCCTGGTCTACACGGCAATGCGATCTCTGGTAAAAGAAAACAACAACAACAAAAACCGGTCCGCGAAAAAAGCCGCGCCGCGCGGGCGATAGTGTTTCGTATGCACGGAAGCAAAAAGCGAGCTTTAACAATAAAAGTGGGCACATTAATCATAAGCGTACTCCGTAAAATATCCGGCAAAAATTAATACGACACGGTCGGCTAAATCTAAACAAAACGGCGTTAACTAAATAAACTAATGGACACGGAGAAATAACAAACAACGCTGCTGGAGGGACAGAGGTGCCTGAAAAATAAATGGGAAGGAGCAGAAAAACGGTTAACCTTCCACACCCCGGGCCAGTATATTGTGCTACCCATATCAACCGGCCAGGCGTTAAATATACACCGAGTCTAAAAAAAAGCGGTACACCCGGTAATAATGGCAGTAACGAAACGCCGTTTTAGCGGGACCAGCATCGGGACCGGCCTGGCGAATGCCGGAATTTTCCAAAAACTCAAATGAGCCCAAAAAAATTAATAAATCACTTCGAAATCAAATATTTTGTGTCTCTATTTCCGCACAGAAATATTTAAAATCAAAAAAGTGTCGAAAAACATCGAAAAAGTGCCTCAAATCGAAAAACATGAACTATACAAATATTTTTCGAAAACTGCAATAAAATAAGACAATTGTGTTAAATACAACAATTTAATTAATAGAATTAAACCTTCGACGTAAAAGTACACTGAATGCCAAAAATATGTAAATATCAGAAAATTTCCAAAACTAATACCATATTTGTTAAGCAAATCAGTTGGATTCCGCCCGAAAAAGACCAGAATTCTAACGAAAGAGGAAATTGAGAGATTTTTACAAGAACCTGATAAATATATTTCTGCTAGAAAATGTAATTCAAATTAATTTAACTAATTTTGAACAACTTTTCAAGTCATTTTATTAATTGGTTTTTGTGGAGGTTTGAGAATAGATGAGCTACTAAAGATAACGATCGATGAAATAGAAGACAAAAATTCAATTATTATTATAAGAATTCCAGTCTTCAAAACTCATACTCGTGATTTCAAGTCTAGACCAAATAAAGATATACCGCAAATACTG